CTCCTTCCACCCACCCATGGCTCCTCGGTGCTCCAGCCAGGATTGAAGGGTAGCCGCAGTTCTCCTTCAGCACCCTGGATAGTGAACACCTGTGAAATGCTAGCAGCTCAGACAGAACATCCAGAAGCAAATGGAGGACTACTGTCTAAACCCTGGCTGTACCTGCACTAAGCTGGACCCCTGACTGTTGGTTGCTCTTGTTAATTCCCCACTTTCCCTCTTTATATTTGAGCCGTAAGACTTGTTTCTAATAAAACTTACCTCTATCGGGGTGCTCACCCAATGACCCCTATTTTTCATTTGTGCTTCTGTGTTCTGTATAAAAACAGTAATGTTGTATGTGTAATGCCTGATTAGAGGCTTGTCAATCTTCATTGGCCACAAATGCTGTCCTGACAAAGACCTCACAAGCAGCAGCACCACTACCACTGGACCCAAGAGGGAAAGGACATACAAGGTATTATGCTTCAATATTGCACAAGGAAAAGACACATACAGTAACTATGCAGACATTCTAAGATAACTGGTTAGGTTATACAACAGGAAATGCTAAATAACTCATCATACGCTACCACATAGCACTACTGCTTCATTCTTTCGAGCAATTGTCTCAAAATGAAATCAGGTGTAGATTTTCCATATACGGTAATGTTTTTTGCAGCAGTTAAAAGATGCATCAGATGCCCTTTGACTTGCAGAGTTATGCTATCTGCTTTCACCCTTCCCTTTGCTTCAGTTTTGGTGCACATTTTTTTCAAAAAATCTATCCAGTTACTCACAGCAATGTGTCTACAAAGTTTGAAAAAAAAAAAAACTTCAAATACGTTTTATTTTATCACTCAAACAGGATCAAGTGTCAAAACTTCCCTTTTCTTTGCTATCAGTATGCAATGCTGTTTCAGTTTGGGGGCGATCTGACTAACAATGTAATCAGTTCCAGTTTGTTCCCCAGAGAATGTGCCTGCAAAGTTTGAAAAAGATCTGTCAAATACTTTAAAAAACTTTTGTGCTGATAGGGTCAAGTGACTGAAACTGCCCTTTGTCTGTGCTATCACAAAGTGTTACTGCAGGGAATACAATAGACCTCATACATTCAACAAGCTAAAACCACCAGTGCGGAAGTTCCAGAATTCAGTACTGGGGAGGAGGAAACTCCATGATGACACGAGGAGAACAGGCAACCTCCACACATGGAGCCATGGTGGGGACCCGTAGCCTGATGTGAGAGGTGTGAGGCAACAGTGCCAACCACTGTGCCACCATACCACTGCATACCATGAAATGTATACAATTACCTGGAGGTAAATGCCTCTTCATCTCCCTCTCTGAAAAATCCACAGCCTACCCAACTTAACATTGATGTTATTAGATAAGTAGGTGACTTATATATCATTAGAAATACCTATAAATTCAGCATAAGTCTAAATAAACAAATGAAACATTGCTAAGTAATATAGTCAAACCAAGCATACAGGGATAGGAGTAGTAAAAATTTCAACTTCAGGGTTTTTGGCTGTTTTTGAAATTGTTCCCTTTTCTCTAAATAGTGCATTATATAGTGAATCTGCAATTCTCTACAGCAAAACTATATAATACAGCAAATAATTACTGTACAATGTAGTAATAAAATACTCACTCTGCAAAATAGACAGTGTACATGATAATACTCCCCGTATACCATAATGCAATGTACATGATAATACTCCCCGTATACCATAATGCAATGTACAAGTGACCCTTCTTGTCAACTGATGGACCAAAGGGGCAACTTTCTATACAAATTTATATTTCTGCATATATTTTGTATATAGAAGTATAAGAGTCACTTATGACACTAGAAATCTCTGCAAATTTGAAATAATAATTTAATAACTATGAAATAAAAATAAAATAATTTCAAATAATTATTTGAAATAAAATACAGGCTTAAGCATCCATATTCACCATATCATCCCATTTATATTGTCACTATTTTTTGCTTATCTCAAATGTCAGCTGTCAAATGTTGCTAGGATACCAACACAGAGCTTCTTGAAATGCAGTGTCCAAAACCATAATTATATTTCACTTACAAATTCCCTATATAGTGAACTGCATAGATTTTCCTATATAAGGAATGGTAAGTGAAAGAGGAGACCATTCAAATAAAGCCATTTTTATCCACCAATTGCTAAGAATTATAACTTAAGTGAAAATGTCACATCTTAAAAGCAAAATGCAATAATTATTGAAATACTACATTAAAGGGTGCTTAAAGAATCATTTTGCTCTAAATTTTTCAAAGAACTTGTGTAAGTCATCTTGAATAGCATCTTTGTCCTGTTGTCATAAAACCTTCTCGTATAGTAAATCTCACACTGCAGGTATCCATGGCAGCACCACCTGTGTTGTGTCCCACCCCCCTGGAAGTGCCAGTCTGCCAGGTGAAGAAAACAGACCATGTCCTGGCCAATGCCGCTCTTTGCTTTCTGACCACATAAAAACATGATCACCCAAATGATACAGCAGCTCTTCGTAACCATCTGCTCATTGTTACACATATCTTGTCCCTTTGACTCGGGGGGGGGGGGATGTTTTACTCCACCAATGTAGAAATGTGCATAAAAAAAAAATCTCACTACTTCCCCCCACTGCACTGCCCTGCCAACATTTGTGGAAAACCTGGATCCTCTGGACAGCAAACAGACCCACAGGACCTGCAGATTGGTTTATGAAATGGGATGATCCTACCAGTGTCATAAGCTTGGGCAGGTGGCCCAAACAGTATGTAACACTGCTTAGCTCTCTACCTTACATGAGTCATTCATATAGCCACAAAGGCTAGAACACTCGTCTTATTGTTTTCTAACAGCAGACATTCTGCTGTTAATATAATGAGTCACAGGTTAGTAGAGGCCACTCTCCATGTTCACGTGACTCTGTGTCCCCACCAAGTATCCCAACTGAGCTCAGTAGTATCATTTCAAGAAAACTGTTTATCATTTCTCGGTGAGTTAAGAATCCGCTTGTATGATGGTCCAGTTTTACCCCCCAGTCATATTTATTCATCAGTCTCTTTATGCCAGTGTTACCCAACCCCCAGACCGTCCACGTTTTTGCTCCCTACTGGGAGCTGAGAGGGAGCAAAAATGTAGACTGTCTGGTAGGAAGCTGGGAGGGAGCAAAAACGTGGACTATCAGGGGGTCCCAAGGACCAGATTGGGAAACACTGCTCAAGGCACTAACACATCCTCTGCTTTCAAAGAATAAGCTTCATACACTATATCTTCATGTTGTGCCCTGTGATGGGTTGGCAGCCCATCCTGGGTTGTTCCCTGCCTTGCACCCATAACCTCCAGTACCCAGAATAGGATCAGTGGTTAAAGAAAATGGATAGATGGATGGATTGATGGATGGATATATTAATGTTTAAAATTAAATTTGAGGGTTAGGTTAGGTAATGAAGTAAAGCTAATGTATATAACATTATATTAAACAAGATCAATAAAATGTTATTATAACTATAACAACTTAATACATTGCAAATGTCAATATAATACATTTTAGAAAATTCATTTTATCCTATATGTTACAAGAATTTTTGTAATGTAACTATAATAATAGAAGTATTGAATTCCAGCTTTATATGACAAAAATTGCATACAACTCAAACAGATGATTATTTGTTGTGCTGCGCTATGCATTAATCACAGGTAAGATGCTGCTGAGATGAAAAAAGCAGGCCAAACAACAGACAGCTAATTGTGGCCTCTATGCCTTTCATTTAAAAGATCACTTATAACTGAATGGTGTAGCCTGAACATAAAATATTATCCCTACCTTCAACTTTATACATCAGCAAAGAGAAATGTGTACAAAGAATTAAAGCATGAAAGTAGCATAACATTCCCATTCGAAAATGTCAATAATGACTATGAAAGCAAACTCAACAAAAGCAATTGTTTGAGGGCCATGGTCAGGATAGTGGAAAATATTTTGTTCTGTGAAAGAAATCCTTTCCATGTACAAATTATTTAATGAAACAAACTATGGTGGCAGTTTTAACAGTATATTGAGCTTCAGTTGCAGCAGTAATTATCGTTCTGTTATTTTTAGCTCCCAACAGAGGAAAATTAACGTCTGTGCATTAAGGTTCAAATTCATTAGCACTAATGAACTGGTTAATAGATATGCCAAACCTTGAGGCAGAATAAATTAAGTAAGTAACATCTTTAAGGGTATTTTTTATCGTGATTAGGAGAGATGTAACTTTGCAATTCTGCCAGTGGGGATTTGATATCTATGTAAGTAACCTGGAAGGTGCCATGTAATTACTAGTAATTAACAGACTGTTATCTGCTACAACTGTTCAGTGACTGAGGAGATAACATTAGGGAGAATTTAGACAAAATGTTATACTAAATACATTTACTGTATAATGACTGCACTCTGATCTTATTTTTATTAATAATGTAAATAATGCTTGCTTTATTAAGTAGAGAGAAGATTTATGACTATGAACACATATGTAACACGTCAGGTCAGGTCAGGTCAGGTTGGGGAGCATGTGCTGATGCAGCACGTTGCCGCACCCACCACACGGTGAAACTCCTCGGGATCCCAGCCAGCGACCCCCCAGGCAGACACACGCTCCAGTCCCACCCTCTGGTAATGGCCATCCATCTGCTGCAGCCAGGTGTTACGTGGGCGTCCCCTTGGCCTGGTCCAGCCGCTTGGGTCCTCAGCATTGAGGATCCTGCGAGCCAGATCACCCCCAGGGAAACGCGCCACATGGCCGTAGTGCCGTAACTGATGCTCCCTCACCATGCAGGTAATGTGCCTCATTCCGGACTCCTCTAGCAACCGCTCATTCGACACAAAGTCAAACCAGTGGTACCCAAGGATACTCCGAAGAGACACAATACCAAAGGAGTCCAGTCTTCGTCTAAGGTCACTGGATAGCATCCATGTCTCACAGCCATACAGCAAGACATTGCACAAGTGTTGTGAGCATCAGGATCTCAGGATGTCCCACAGAGCAACTTGACAGAGTCAAACACTTTACGAAAATCGACAAAGGCTACAAAGAACTTCTGCCAATATTCGTACTTGCGCTTCATGAGAACTCTAAGTGCCAGGATGTGGTCGATGGTAGACAACTTATGCGTAAAACCAGACTGCTCCGGTTGCTGACAGACAAGTAAGTGATCACGGGTCTTGTTAAGAATGACCCTAACCAGGACCTTACCCGGCACTGAAAGCAGTGTTATCCCCCTGTAGTTGCTGCGATCCAGGCGATCACCCTTCCCTTTCCAGACAGGGACTACAAGTCCCGTTTTCCAGTCAGTTGGGATGACGCCTGACTCCCAAATGGAAGCAAAGATTGCCCACAATGCCAGAAGGACAGCCTTACCACCAGCCTGGAGAAGTTCACCCCAGATACCACAGATCACTGCGGCCTTCCCTAACTCCAGCTGCTTCACCACCTGTGCAATGTCAATGAGATTGGGTGGTTCATAGCCGATTGGAGGATCAACTTCAAGAACCGTGGACCCAGAGGTGTCCAACATCCTAGCCGAAGGATCAGCTTTAAACAACTGCTCTAAGTAGCCGGCCCAGTGGGTCACAACTGCAGTACCATCCATAAGGACCGTTCCATCACCCGCCCTGACTGCAAGTCTCCGAGGATCAGATTCAGATGTACATAACGCTTTGATTCCTAGATTCCTTCCATATCCTACTGTATTAGATTCCTTGAGAAGTTATTGTGATCTTTATACTTACTCCTAATCTCAAAATGTGTTAAAATTAGATAGAAATTAGACTTACAAGCCATTCAAAGGCCTTTGTGGAGTGTTATTTAGAAAAGGGTGTTTTTCTCCTGTGCTGTGCTTTATATTGTGGTATATATGTTCAAGGTTTACAATTTATGGTCTAGTTTCGAAAATTACTTTTTGTCTTTCTGACACGGCTTGCGATTTCTCTGCAGATTTATTAGTTATTTAACACAACATGTCTGCTGTGGTTTAATTAGATACAAAGCTGTTGTTTCATTTTGTGAGTCTTTAGACATAAGAGGTTTATATATGCTTAATGAACACCCACAGGTTGGGCTTTTCTTCCCAATCTGCATGCTGTAATCATTCACGCGCAGCATCTGGGCAGCAAGATGGACATACAATAGACTGAGGAAATTAACAGTGGAAAAATCTGGTAATCAGCAATAACAACTGTTTTATTTCCTGTGAGATACGTTGCTTCTTTGGATAATACCCTCTTTTATGAAAATATTTCCCTTCAGTTCTGTTTTAGTGATTTCTGTTTAGTATTGAATTTTTTTTTCCATTGTATGCCTTGATCTTTATTAAGATCTTTATTAAACTCCGTACACATGCAAACAATAAAAGGAATAATAGTAGAATCTCAAGGTTGCATATATAGCTGCCTTTATAGTTCCGTGTGCCTGGACATGGTTTAAACATATCAGATCAATTCACAGAAAATTTGCACCCCCTATTAAAAAATGAAATAAGAATCTAGTTTGTGTTAGTGGTGCTCATCCCTACTGGAAAATCCAGCTAATACCAGCTTAAGATGGTAGCTGGTTCAAGCTGGTTTAAGCTGGTCAAAGCTGGTTGTAGCTGGTGGACCAGCTTGGCCGAGCTGGTGGGGACTGGCTGAGCCTGGTGGACCAGCTTGGCCGAGCTGGTGGGGACCTGGCTGAGCTGGTGGACCAGCTTGGCCGAGCTGGTGGGGACCTGGCTGAGCTGGTGGACCAGCTTGGCAGAGCTGGTGGGGACTGGCTGAGCCTGGTG